TGGCTTGGACACCTGCCCTCTCCAGGGATAGCGAGCTCCTGGAAGGCTAAACCATATCTTACTCTTCTTTCAGTCTCCTGTGTCCAACACTGTAAGCTAAGCATGTCAAACTCAGTGGCTAACACGAGCCAAATAAGGTTTAAGTTTATGCGGGCCACAAAAAAACAACAGCTTCAATTTTCATAGAAACATAGGTTTATTTTGATATTGACATGCTGAATACAAAGGGCTGAAATAAGTAATTGTTAACATAAAATAATATAACATTTTAATAAAAATTAGTATTTTTTCTTGAACATTAACTTACCAGACACTGAATCACTGCACAAATTAAGAAGCATAATGCAAATAAACCTATTTTTCTTGTTCTCCAAAAGCGAAATATTCCCTGTTGCACACACCAAAGAAGTCAGTACAAGACTAATGACCTGGCAATTGGCTGCTAAAATATCCACTGCTAGTATTAGTGGAGAGAAATGGTGCACCTGCACATAAGGCATGTAATGGAAATGAATGCAACATGGTTAATAATAATCAGTCATTAGCAAAAGTTGTAGTTCGTTATTAATAATTACATATAACAGGATATTGTAAAAATTAAGTTATAAAATTTTTATTAAAACATTTCTTATATACCGTTATATTGGCTGGGCCACAAAAATATTCATCGTGGGCCGCATGTGGCCCACAGGGTGAGAGTTTGACATGCTTGATCTACACCCATTCATTAAACAGCCAAAGCCAATCATTCCAATCAGAAGAATAAATTATTGATTTAGAGCAGTGGTTCTCAACCTTCTTAATGCCGCGACCCTTTAATACAGTTCCTCATGTTGTGGTGACCCCAACCATAAAATTATTTTTGTTGCTACTTCATAACTATCATATAGTTCACACTATTGATTTCTTATTCAACATCCACTCCTAAATTTTCCTTATTGAGTTGCTTGTTTTGTTTTTGTTTGTTTTTTAGGTAACTGTCCAACCTCCAGCTACAAAAGGGCAACTCAATTAGCCTGAGTCCATCAGTAAATGAATTCCCTGGTATGATAGAGACTTGTAATGCTTACCCTGTCACATGTCACATTTTCACATGTACATCCCTGCCACCCCTCCCTACTTGTTCTTGGCTGGGCCATGTAACTAGTTATAGTCACTAATCAGTAGTGGGTTGTGGGTAGAGGCGATATGTGTTACTTCCAGGTAGAACATTTAATTGCAAGTGTAAGTTTTTACAATGTTTACTCTGCCACAGCCTCAAGACCAGTATTGTTGAAGATAATAAGCTTTTGTCAGCCTAGGTCCCCAAGAAAGGATAATGTAGAACAGCCCACCTCTCACTCTCATCGAGTCAGGATGGTTGGTTTGAGTAATAAATACATCTTTGTTGTTTAAGGATTTTTTTTTCTTTTCCTTTTTTTTTCTTTTTACTGCAGTATGACCTAGATTATAAGTTATGCTAGGTCCTAGACTCTTCTAATTAAAACACCAGAAAACCACTATAGTCCTGTAGTAAACTAGCCCAATCAGAAAAAGGGAAAGATTTTTAGTCCATATTTAGAGAAAAGGATTCTCTTTCCTATCAGATATGAGCAAATCAGCCTATAACCCAGATTGCCACAAGTGTAAGTGATCAAACAGAGAAAAAAACCTTGATGATATGATTGAGCTGATGCCTGTATTGCTCCTAAAGGCTATTCCTCTCTAGACTTCTAATTCTGCAAACTAATAATTCAGTTTGTTTGTTTCTCCATAACATGGTAAGCAGAGATATATGTTTATCTTTGTACATCTTTAATTTCATCAGGGTTCCTAACATAAATCTAGCAGTGATGGCGAACCTTTTGAGCTCGGCGTGTCAGCATTTTGAAAAATCCTAAATTAAATCTGGTGCCGTCTCACATATAGAAATTTTTTTGATATCTGCAAGCATAGTAAAACAAAGACTTATATTTGTGATTTTTTTATATATTTAAATGCCATTTAACAAAGAAATATCAACCAAAAAAATGAGTTCGTGTGTCACCTCTGACACGCGTGTCATAGGTTCGCCATCACTGATTCTAGCTCAAGAAGCACTCATAAAAATTTGATGAGTTAAAATTTTAAAAATATAAAGCTCACCCTCTTGTCTTCAGAAATAAAATATTACCTGCACTAACAAGGAGAAAAAGTAGTTGGATTCAACCCAATCTTTTTACAGATAAAAATACTAAAACCCAGTATAAGATTTATCAAGTTCATATGGCTTCCTATGGCAGAACTGAGGGGAAAATGACCATAATTTTCCACTCAAGGTAGGAAAGTAATGAGATAGTATATTACCCTGATAGTTAAAAACTTTTAACTTAGCACAAATATAGCTTACTTACTAGCTATATGATCTTGGACAAGTTACTTAACCTCTCTAAGCTCTGGTTTTTCCATCTATAGAGGACAATAGTCTCTAGCTCATAGAGTTGTGAGGAATAAATGACTCAACATATAAAAAAACACTTAACATAATGCCTAACATAGTAAACATTCTATATATTGCAGGTCTATCAAATGATGTTTATTCATAGCTAAATCAATTTTTTACATTAAGATTGATCCTGTTCTCCTTTATCATTCATATAATTCAGATCACTGACCTGTGATTTTTTTATCATGTATAATTATAGGATAGCCTATACAACTGTATAGCCAGCATCCACCTTTCCTATAGGAACTCCTCCCATTTCCACACTTCTATTATAGTATGGCAGCAAAAGAAACCATGTTACTACTAATTGTCCCTTGGCCCAGCTAATTGGTCAAGAGCAGAACACCTGACCAAGAGGTGCCAGTGTAGCCATTCCTCCAAGATTTTTAGATTTTGGAAGAGAGGTCATCTAAAGCCTCACCTAGATATAAAATATGGGAGATGTCATTGGACATGTTTTTTGCCAAGTGGAAATACACATTTTGTATTGAGAGAATAAAGTCAATGGACAGAGGGAAACAGAAAAGGTGAAGACTATG